TAGTCTGCACCAAGGCCGTGGGCCTTTAAAGGCACTCCACTTACCCTCTGATACTCTGTCACTCAATCAGCTCAGCTTTGAATAACACTGGTCCAGGACCTGTGTCCTTACACTAGACACAGGAAAGAGGAGTGATGGTATAAGCTTTTCCAAATTAAACCATCCTCCTAGGCCACCACTGGCTTGCTAAGGATCATCTCAATGCCTAGCAGAGGCTGATAACCGAAAGGGATTTCCTGAGCCAGTGGATAAATATCCAATGAAAGTCAGCGTCCCCAACCTCTGGCTTCCCTCAGCAGCTTCAGAACCTGAGATCTAGGCCCCTGACCTGGCTGCTGGCTGGTCAAAGAAGTGACTTTTCTCCCCACTGTTTACCTTCCTGCATCCTAGAAAAGGATCCCCAGACACAAAAGCCTAGAGAGCACACAGAGGAAATACCCGAAGGGAAGCTCACTATGGGGGATAGCAGGCAGGAGCCCTGAAGCTAGGCCCAAATCTGCAGCCAGCAAGCTGTGTGGCCTTGGGCACCTCATTTAATCTCTCTGTGCCTCTCTTTTCATCTCCAAAATGAAGATACAGCACAGAAGGTAAGGGCAGGTGGGCTCTGACATTGGTTGGCTTGATTTTGAATCCTAGTTTGACCACTTTTCTCAGAATTTTTTTACTAAGGACTGCTTATACCCATGCAATAGGCCTCAGTGCTCTAATTGCTGAAATGAATAAAAATAATATCTACTAATATACTGTTGGGAGGTTAATATAGCTAATTTATAGACATGCTTCTGGACAGTGCCTGGAACCCAAGAAGTGAGTTATCATTGTTATTGTAATGTTCCCTTGTTTAAATGATAAAGGGCTGCTCTCCTGGCCTCCTAGGGTTTTGGTGATGCCCTGGCATCATGAATAAAAAACCTGGGAGGAATTTGGTAGCTACCTGGTTTGTTTTCAAAACTGACTGGAAACTCCTCCCTTTAGTGGTGCTAGCCACTCACCCCAGCTGACTGCTCTCCATAACAAAAGGCAAGGCCTGTTGGCCCACCAGGTCTTTACCCCTGAACTGGCAGGCTCATGCTGCCCAGAAAACCACAGTGGCTGTTTTTTCGACAACCACTGGTGTCAGTGTCTAGAGCATCTAAAGAAGACAAGACCCAGTTACACCCCAAAGATTTAGGCTGTTTCCAAATTTGGGGTTTCTCAGAGAGGAGCCCACTTTTGGAATTTCCTCCAAAGTTCAGTAAGGCTCTTCCTGTACCAAGCTTGGCCCAGTTGGCCCTGGGAAGAACCAGGAAATGCCCTTGGGGGCTAGGGAGGAGCTGGGGTAAAGACAAAGTTTTCAAAGTCCTTTTTCATTAAGTTTAAAAATGGGGTGAGCTGAAACCGGTTTGGCTCAGTGGATAGAGCTTCGGTTCCTGGACTGAAAGGTCCCAGATTCAGTTCTGGTCAAAGGCATGTACATTGGTTGCGGGCACATCCCCTATAGGGGATGTGCAGGAGGCAGCTGGTCGATGTTTCTCTCTCATTGATGTTTCTAGCTCTCTCTCTCCCTTCCTCTCTGTAAAAAAAAAAAAAAAAAAAAAAAAAAAAAAAAAATTATTTAAAAAAGAAAAAAGAATGAGGTGAAAGGCTCCAAAAGTATTAAACAGAAAACCTGAGCACTGCTGATTCGGTTTTCACCTTCTCCTTAGCTCCTGTCTGACTCTGAATGGTACACGAGGTTCTAGAAGGCCAAAGGCAGGTGCTTTAGGTTACAAAGGTGCATAATTGGCCTCAACCTGACATCAGCCCCCAGTCCAGGAACCCGAGAATGAAAGCTTTGGAATGGTGTGCCACGGTTCCACATCCTTTCCTCTGCAGTCCCGAGCACCACAGAGTGAAAACCAGGTTTGTATTTCTGACCTGGTTCCCAATTGGAAAGCAGGTGGACTGAAAATATTGCAGGCAAAGGCAGCTTAGTCCCCTTCCCTTTAATCCCATGCCCAGCAGGAGGCACAGCTTCCTCACTCCTGGGAGTGGGGTCTGAGGCACCTGCTGCTCTTCCCAGTTAGTTATTCTTCTCATCACTTTTATATTCACAGATACCAATGTTCTGGCATTTAATAGCCATCAACCACCCAGATCTAGATACTTCCAAATACAGGTTAGCATGTCCTCCCTATGCCTGTTTCACCACCCCCCCTCCTACCCCCCTCAAATAACCTAGATCATTTACTACTGTTCAATTAAAATTATCCCCAGCCTAGATCTCTAATAAAAGAATTAGATGCCAAGAAGGAAGCTACCATAAGAAATCTATAAACAACTAAAATATTGAAGGAGACTCCAATGTGACTGGGCAAACCATAGGTCCCAGGCTTTGAGAAATGCCTGTTACTGGGTTACACCTGCTCACAACTTACTCTCCTTAGGAGAAAAAGCATCTCAGGACAAACTACCTGCACAGGCCCAGAGGTCTAACTCATTCAGGGCTCGACTGCTAGCCCCAAGACCTAGGACTTCCTGTTGGGGGTTGAGGGGGCTTCCTTTCCTCCTTGACAAACTGTGGTTGTTGGCCTACATCAGTGGTTCTCAACCAGGGCTCATTCTGTGCCCCAGAGTACATTGACAATGTCTGGAGATACTCTTGGTTGTCACTAATGGCCAGGGTGGGAAGGGGCTGAGGTGGGGGAGTCTAATGGGTAGGGACCAGGGATGCTGCAGAAACAAAATTACTTAGCCCCAAACATCAGCAATGCTGGTGCTGAGAAACCCTAGCCCAGAAGCCTATTTCAGGTTTTTTCCAAACAAAGCCGTTCTCAAGTTTCCTGGGAAATACTGGGCTGCCTGTGATCCCTTCAAGGACTAGAACACCTGGGGCTGCACCCAAGGACTACTGTCAGTGAAACTTTTCCAGCGCATTTCTTTCTGCAACAGAAATTGTCCCATGCACTGAAATGCACTTTAAATGACAGAACTGACTAATAAAATGCTCAAGACCCTTCCCAGAGTGGTGCTCCGTCCCTGCCCTTTCAGATGGGGGTGGTGGAAAGATGCCAGTCTTTTCTTTTAGGAGAAAGAAACTGAAGACAGAAAAATAGCAATGCTGAAAAATGACCAGAAGTCATCCCACTTAGTTTATTTCATGAGATTCCCAGCATGTAGCGAGTGTACTTTCCTAGGAAAAATTTTTGCCTCAGTTTACATTATAAATTATTTTACAAATATAGAACTGTGTTAGAAACAATATTTATAAAAGTCCATAGGATTTTCACATAAAATAATATCCCCTGAAACTGGATTTTGTGCACAGTGTGGGTGGGCAGTCTCTTTGGTTCTTTCTGCAGGCAAGCCTTGGATACTGCAGTGTCTGTGCCAGACCATTCCTAGAAAGCAAGTGTCATCTTTTTGCTGGGGGAGGGGGGATCTTGCCTTCAATTTGTAAAAAAAAAAAAAAGTAACCTCTGTGAAGCGCAATAAAACCAGGCACGCCTGTCCATAATATTTAAATAATGGTGATGTTACTTGTACCTCAATAAGCTACTTTAAAAATAGTTTTCTGTAAGTTATTTCAAAATAAAAATTTAAGAGTAATGCTGTGAGTTTCAAGAAAGAATCCACAGAGGAAAGCTAATTTTTTGACAATGTACTAGTATTCCTTTAAAAAAAAATAATTAAAACCCCAAACCAACCACATGGCACTAAGGCAATTCGTAGGACATTATCTTCGTCTTAATGTAACATTGTTCCAATAAAATCAACTAATACTTTTTGGATAAGTTCAAGTTCAAGCAATGACTGGGTGTCTGCCAGGCATCAGGCTCCCTGCTGGGTGCTGGGAGACTAACCATACAAATTATTCAAATGAAAGTAAAAGAGAGTGCTAAAAATAAATTATATTTTTTAAAAATTTACCACAAATGGTAAATGTTTTTGAGAAAAAAACATTTGTGGTAAATAAAAATGCAATTTAAAAGCTATTTTTATTAAAATTCTAATATTTTGTTTAAAGAAAAACCCAGGACACATGCTAAAAGTAACAGGATGTCAGGTTCGCGAGGACAATGGTCAGCCCAGGCCTCAGGAATTCGGCGGCAGAAGTAACACGGAGGTGGGGGTCCAGCCGTGCTGCTCAAGGGAACATCTCAAGTGACATTTTTTTTCAACTGGAATCTTTGGACCAGAGTGATCTAGCTCATTCCTACTCTCTATGCACTGTCTGCCCTCAGAACTAGAAACACAAAGCTATAAGCACCAGCCTTAGAACCAGAATGCCTGGACCTGACCCTGCCCTGCTGCCTGGAGAGAGCCACCTGACATCCTGGTGCTTCACAGCCTCATATGAATGAGGCAGTAACATCAGTCTCCCAGGCTGTGAGGGTTAATGAGTGCAGTGGTATCTACCATGTATCAGATGCTGAGCATGAATATAGGGGTCTCTGAGCTGGATAGAGCTCATGGGTTTGGGGGTTTCCCAGTACAGTATTTTTTTAAACTTTAGCGGCCAAGAATTTAAATGGAGGTTTCCTATAAAATACAGATGTGTCTTTTCTAGGAAAATCAGAATGCTGCCAGGCAGAAGGAAAGAATTAGCTGTCCACAGCAGCCTTCAGTGGGTCAGTCCCAACTACTCCCTGATGCTTCCAATGCCAATTGCTATCTTTTCCTCCCCAATAATGTCATTCACTTTTTTCCTTTTTTTTCTTTTTAGCTAGCCATGTACACATTTGAGCTTGTAACCCTGATCTACAGTAATGAACAGAACAGATGTAATCCCTTGTCCTCATAGGGCTCAGTGTCATCCTGGGTCAGAGTAGGATGGCTGTCTCTCTAGAGAGGCCCTATCCTGAGCAACCTGGAGAAGCGTGCTGGGTTGTAGAAAGAGCTGTCTTATACACCCAGGCTACTCCCAGATGTAGTTAATGGACCAGATCAGCCAGGAGCTCCAGAGAAACGCAGAACCTGCTCCAGATCAGCTGCCTTGGAATCTGGATTTTAACAAGAGCTCAGGTGTGCATCTTCCAAGTCTATACCTCAGAGCCCTCCCGCGAGTAGATGAGGCTGTTGACCATGCTGAAGTTGTAGAAAGGCGGGCTGAAGGGACTGCTCTGCCCCGCACCAGTGCTGGCAGGGAAAGGGCTATAGTAGGAAGATCTCTGGCTGCTGCCATTGCTGGTGCTGGTGCTCAGCTGCAGGTTGTCTGAGGCTTCCGAGACGGAGCTGGCGGGAAACGTGCTGCTGGAGGGCAGGTGGGCTCCCTGGATTCCTAGGGGGTGGCCGCCAGCCACAGCTCGCTGGGCACTCCCACTGCTGCTGGCACTTAAGGTGCTGAGGCTGCTGAAGAAGGTGCTGAGGCAAGGGGTGGAGGTGAGCCCAGCTCCTCCAGGGGAGGAGACGCTCTTGGTGCCCTCAGGAGGCTCTGGAGACTGGGAAGGCCTTAGCAGAGCAGAGGGGCTGTCTTCTTCCGGCTTCCCACCCGCTCCAGCCCCTAATCCTGAGGACAGACCCTCTTCTGATTTTGATGTCCCTACAGCCACCGTGGAGCTGCTGCTGGCCTCAGAGCGGCGCTTTCGCTTTCGGCGGAAGTTCCCGTTATCAAACATTTTCTCACAGTTTGGATCTAGAGTCCAGTAATTACCTTTCCCTGTGGAGATAAAGACAGGTGTTAGAGAAGGAGCTAGTTTATGCCTGCTCATTCAGCTTCTATTTTTAGAGAAGGAGGGCAGACTTTCATTAAACGCTGATGAAAAAAAAAAAATGAATAGCTTTTCACTTTCTCTTCTATTTCCCTATATAAATGTGTACAAATTTTAAAAAATAAAATTGCTTGGTGTTTAAAAAATAAATAAATAAATAAATAAATAAATAAATAAAAATGCTGATGAAGACGCTCAGTCGCCTATACTGTCTAGAGTTATTCTTATGGAAGAGATTTTACTTACCTTTAAAGAGAAATCTGGAACAAAGGTTCTTTCTGTCTTTTACCTCCTCCTGGCAGTGTCTGCTACTTAAATTTTAAAACCTAATTCAATTCATGAGGCACTTATAATTACCCAACACCTTCCCTTCTAGATCCAAATGGAGTGGCCTCACAAAATCCTGGTGCTATTTAGTAGGGCTAGGAATAGGCCTCACCTCATAGGTTGGTTGTGGGGATTAAATGATATCTTTGGCCAGTAACTGGCAGCACACAGTAAGCAGTGCAAAAACAGTGTCTGCTATCACTGTTATTTGCTGAAAGTGTAAAACACTTGTCCTTAAAAATACTCCACTGGAAAAAGGCAATCTCAAATACCCAATCCCGTGCCTTGCTGGACAAAAAAGACAGCAGGCAGTACTGAGCAAACACTTGTTTTAGCCTCTTGAATGGATGTTTGGAGGACAAGGGAATGCCTCTCCTAGAGTCTCTGTATCCCTCACCCTAAGCAGGAGGTGCTCCCACATCTCTTCCAGGTTTTCCCTCCCCTGGGCAAATCTCGGGGATCAGGGTCCCATTTAATGCCGAAAACGCTATTCTCCTGCTTAGAAAATTTTACTGGCAATTTATATAACACAATCATCTTGGAGGATTTTATCTCTCAAAAGCTCTTTTCACTTGTGGCAAAAACAACTGCCAGTGTTTGAAAGTACTATTAAGCACTTATCCTGTACCGAGTGCCTTGCACTGACAGCCTAGGCTACTCCTCACAGCTCCATGGAGATAGGCAATTTATTGCTTCCATTTCTCAGATGGGGAAACTGAAGCGCAGACTGGTTAGTAACCTGCCGTATTCCCACTTAACAACAGTAGAGCCAGGAATGCTCTTGGCTCCACTAGCCCGTTATGCTACCTCCACAAACTAACATACACTCCTCACATCCATTTTCTCCACTGACACATTCTCCACAAAGTCTCAGGGAAAAAAGTATTCATAATTACCATCTCAATAATGCTCTCACCTATCAGGATAATTATATTGTGCCATCTTTTGTACCAAGCTCTTTGATAAGACACTCTACAGATCCTTGAACTTTTGGAAAGTCTGAGGAGTGCATGTAAAGTTTATGTGACCATCTCAGGTGCTTTACGGGCGGAGTTGGAAGATGCACGTCCAGAATTGCATGCCTGGTCCAGTGCAGTGATCACCAGCCCCACGTGGCTGGTGGGCACCTGAAAAGTGGCTAATACACAGCGAGATGTGGGGTAGACACACAGGGTTCTGAAGACTTGGTACCAAAAGTAATGTAAACTACCTCACTAATAATCTTTGTGCTTGTTACAGGTTGAAACAAATTTTGGTTTACATAAAAAACACATTAGGATGAAATTCACTGGTCTCTTTTTATTAATGTGGCTATAGAAAACTTAAAATCACATGAGTTTTATACTGTATTTCTACTAGAAACCACTATCTAATTTAAACAAAATTCTAAATCTCTGGAGTGTGCAACCGAAATAGTTTCTATTTATTTTCTTTTTCTATCACAACTCTGTCCATACCTCCCTTGTCCTGGGCTCCATCTGAAAACCTCAAGTAGGATGCTGTTCCTCTGTTTTCAGCTTTTCCCCATCTCCTCTCCCCAGGTAGAGGGAAACAATTACAGCACTCCACTGTACCCCAACCCTCTGCACCCCAGGGTTCAGATCAGAGAGAAGCAAATTGCGGGGGGGGGGGGGGGGTAATTTTTGCATTTTCAAATACTTAAAGTACCAAAACCACAATATGCAGGTTTCAGCTGACGCTCTCTGATCCTTCTACCCCGTCTCGTGTCTGTGCCACTTATCCTCTCGAGATAGGCTGAGGATCTGCTTTGTGAAGGACACCAGAGGCTCTCACCACCTCTTCTGTGAAATGCGATGGGATTCTCAGCTCATCCGAATCCCTCTATAGTCCCCTTCATCGGAGAGCTCAAAGGCTCTCAGTCTACTGCCCCCCGGGCGGCACGGGTGGAGCCGTCCGAGTGGAGGCTGGGGGTTGGGGGCGAGGGGCGAGCTTCTCCCTCCAAGGGTCCCCGCTCCAAGGATCCTCTGATACTTTTCTTGTCCTGTGGGTTCTCCTCACCCCAATCAGCCGAGGTTTTGGGTGGTTATCCCTCCACTGGCTCTCATCCCCAGTTAGAACCAGAAGACTCCGCGTGGACCCAAAGTCAGCCACGCCAAGAACACCTCCCCCACCCCACCCCACACCCCATACCCCACACCCTACCCCCGTCCGCGCCGCTTCCCTGCGCTCAGGCCCGGGAGGAAGCACCTGCCCAGCCGCCCTCACCTGGGTCATCCTCGTCGCGGGGCACCTTCTTGAAGCAGTCGTTGAGCGACAGGTTGTGGCGAATGGAGTTCTGCCAGCCCGCCTTGCTGCGCTGGTAGAAGGGGAAGCTGTCGGCCACGAACTGGTAGATGTGGCTGAGCGTGAGCTTGCGCTCGGGCGCGCTCTGAATGGCCATGGCGATGAGCGCCGAGTAGGAGTAGGGCGGCCGCACCATCTTCATCAGGTCCTCGCGGCTGGCCACGGACAGCCAGCCCAGGTCGCAGGGTGCCGCGGGCCCCGAGGGCGCGGCGGGCGCGGCGGGCGCCAGGGGCCGCTGAGCGCAGGCGAAGGTGCCGGCGGCGGGCGGCGGCTGCAGGAAGGGCCCGGCGGCGCCCCGGGGCGGCGGCGGGGCGCCCAGGTAGGCGGCTGCCGAGGCGCCCGGGGCGGCGCCCGCGTTCGGGCCGTTGAGCCACAGGTACGGGTTGGCGGCGGCGGGCGCGGCGTAGTCGGCCAGCCCGTAGGGCGCCCTGGCGGCCGGGGGGGCGCCCGCGGCGGCGGCGGGGGCCAGGCCGGGCTGCGAGTACACGCCGCCGAAGTTGTCGCCGCAGTAGAGAGACATGTCGGCGGACGCCGGCGGCTGCGGGGCGGCGGCTGCGGGGGGCGAGCGGGGCTGGTCTCGCCGCTCGGGCAAGAGCATCCCTCTGAGCGACCTGCGGCGACCGGCGACCTGCGCTCCGGGCGGGGCGGGCGGGCGCGCGGCGGGGCCGCCTCTTATACCTGCGCGGGCCCCGGGCGGCTGGGCGGGGGCCCGGCGGCGCCCTCCCGCCCACCCCACCTGCCGCCCCGGGGCGCCCCGCCCTGCAGCCCCTCCTCGCCGGGCCCGGAGCCCGGAGGCCAGGGAGACTGGCGACTCCAGGTGTAAGGCGAAGAGGACCCCTTCCTAGCTAATATAGCCTTAGCGCATGAAATAAAATAACGAATATTAAAACAAAGAGATGATAACGAAGAGCACAAATACTTCTCCTAAGTCCGTGCGTTAGCTTTGGGTGGCCGCTCGGGCCACCGGCCTAATTTCCTCTGATTTTTCTAACTCCAGCAACTGCACTTTTTGTGATTGAGGTACAGGATTCAGGTCTAGTCTCCACTGATCCGCTACCAGCTAAGCATAATAGGTATGATTTACAACTCTTTGGGATACTGGGTAGTTTATATTAACAGGCATCCTTTGTGATCAGAGGGACTGAAATCGGTTTTTAATTTCTCTAAACATATAACTATTTGTTCGTTCACATTCGGGCAGTATTTGTTCATTTTTATGTTCCCTGTGTGCATCCCTTTGGTGTGATTTGTCTTCAAAACTAGAAGGATGACTGTTTCAAAGACATTTAAATAAGTGGGTTCAGAATTAGCATTTTAAAGCCAAGTTTAATTTATACTGTGTGCAAGAAGCGCTCTTTAAAAAAAGAAAAGGAGAGGAGGAGAGATAAGGGGGGGGGGGGCGGAGAGGAGGTCACAAATTGCGTGTTACTTTTTTAAAAACGAACTTTTACAAACTACATCTGTAAATTCTCAAATGCGGTTCCTGCCTGGGAAAACTGACAAAACCAGTATGATCCTGTAGCGACACCACATGCCATGCAATCATTACTTATTTGCTCTCAACAACAATAAGAAAATTGTGGAGTTTTTTACAAATTAAAACTCTCCTTAAATATGTTCTTAATAAGTGACAGGTCTGAGCTTTTCATTTAAGGGAGAGGAAAGAGGAAAACGTTTTTCCCCTACTTGCCAATTGCAGACTAGGCAGCTCAGTGTACTTAGTCTTGAACCCACACACTTCCCAACTTGCATTTATTTTCGTGAGAAAATTAGTTATGTACTTGGAGGGAAATTATGGTCTTCTGCATATAACTTGGGGGGTGGGAGCAAATGAAATCTAGAACTACTTGACTAGCAAATTTTGGTACCTCAAATCACACCTCAAATGTAATTATTTTCCCATCTTTTCTGGAACAAGAAAGGAATTATTTGCCAACTCTTAAAGCACACTATTTCTTCGATCTCCTGACAAATGCTATAGAGTGGAATAGTGTTTGCCTTAATTGTATTTTGATTTAAGGGTCTAAATGCCCCCCCCCCATATAGTCCTAAATGAAGTTGTTTTGTTCTATTATTCTCTTGAGATGTTAATAAGGATGACAAGGATAGTCCAGGAGGTTGGAAAGTAATTTTTTAATGAATTATAATGCCCAAGTTTAACTTTTTTCCTTAAAGGTAACAGTCTAAACTAAATAGGGAAAGTCCAAAAGAAAAGCTGGATAGAGGGTCATAAGTTCAATTCCAGTCAAGAACATGTACCTTGGTGGCAGGTTTGCCAATCTATGAGACACATAGATGTTTTCCTCTCCCTGTCTCTCCCCCTCCCTTCCTCTCTCTCTCAAAATCAATAGAAAAACGTTCTCAGGTGAGGATTAACAACGACAACAACAAAAGCTGGGAACCTAGATGGCAATAAATTAGGAAAAATTTGGAACAACCTTCCCTTTAGTAATTAGCATCCTTAAGAATATACCTTCCCTTATTTTTTAGCAAATTGCTTACCCATACATACTTCGCAGTCTTGCAGGGTTATTTTTAAGTCTAATTCTCAATTGAATAGCTCCAAATTATTCTGAGAGGCCATAATTGCATATTTTTGTTTCTTGCTTTGATTAAAGGTTTTGCCTACTAGAGGTGTTGTACAGTATTTTGTTCCTTAACTATACGCTATCTTTTTCGGACTTCAGTTTAATTTAAAAATGAGAGAGCCATCTAGTGGCTCTTTGCCGCTGTTACAGTGTCTGTCTGGGGAGGGATCTGTGAAACAGACACACCCTCCAAGGATCTGGAAGTTACTTTTCTATTTCCAATCATATCTTTATTAGGCAAGATTAAAACTGTTCTTGGTCATAGCTTGTGTTTTTTAATGTCAAATGATAACAATGTTTTAAAATCTCTATTTTAAAGATTAAACAAAAATTTAAAAACAAGTTCCCCATAATGTTTTGTCAAAATGTCTTTTCACAGGAAGATATAATCAAGGCAATTGATTAATGTATCTCTGCCAGTATAAAATAAGGATGGACTGTTCAATATTTTCATCACTGGAAAATAAACATTTGGGATATGATTTTATATATATATTAAAAAAATATCATTTATTTTCCACTAACATTTTATAACATTCTTGTTCTTCTTTGAAACAAATATAATAGAAAACTGTCATTTTTTTTCATTTTTTATTAAGGTATTATATGTGTACATATCTTATCGTTGCCCCCACCACCCCACTCTCATATATGCCCTCACCCCCAAGAGTTTTGGTTTTGTTCATAATTTTTATCTTTACCTTTTTCTTCTTCCTCTTAAAGAATACCCTTCATCATTTCATATAATTCTGGTATGATGGTGATGAACTCCTTTAGCTTCTTCTTATCTGTGAAGCTCTTTATCTGGCCTTCAATTCTGAATGATAGCTTTGCTGGGCAGAGTAATCTTGGTTGTAGGATCTTCCTGTTCATCACTTTGAATATTTCTTGCCACTCCCTTCTGGCCTGCATAGTTTCTGTTGAGAAATCAGCTGACAATCATATGGCTAATCCCTTGTAGGTAACTAGTTTTTCTCTTGCTGCTTTCAAGATTCTCTCTTTGTCTTTTGCCCTTGGCATTTTATTCATTTTTTTTTCCATTCTGATTTAACTTTTTAAAAAATTTTTAAAAATATATTTTATTGATTTTTTTTGCCCCTTCCCTCCCATAAATACCCTCCCTCCCCAGAGTTTTATGTCCATTGGTTGTACTTATATGCATGTATACAAGTCCTTTGGTTGATCTACTATCTCCCTCAAATCTCCCTCCCCTCCCCGCTGTAATTTGACAGTCTGATGTTGCTTTACTGTCTCTGTATCTATCTTTTGGTTCATCAGTTTATGATGTTCTTTATTATCCATAAATGAGTGAGGTCATGTGGGGTTTCTCTTTCATTGATTGGCTTATTTCACTCAGCATGATGTTCTCCAATTCCATCCAGGTTGCTGCAAATGATGAGAATTCCTTCTTTTTATGGCAGCATAGTATTCCATTGTGTAGATGTATCATAGCTTTTTGATCCAATCATCTGCTGACGGGCACCTAGGCTGTTTCCAAATTCTGGCTATTGTAGATTGTGCTGCTATGAACATAGGGGTGCATATATCCTTTCTGATTGGTGTTTCTAGTTTCTTGGGATATATTCCTAGGAATGGGATTACTGGGTCAAATGGGAGTTCCATTTTCAGTTTTTTGAAGAAACTCCACACTGTTCTCCACAGTGGTTGCACCAGTCTGCATTCCCACCAGCAGTGCAAGAGGGTTCCTTTTTCTCCGCAACCTCGCCAACACTTGGACGTTCTGACAGGTGTGAGATGGTACCGCATTGTTGTTTTGATCTGCATCTCTTGGATAATTAGTGACTTTGAGCATGTTTTCATGTGTCTTTTGGCCTTCCTTCTGTCTTCTTTTGAAAATATTCTATTTAGGTCTATTGCCCATTTTTTAATTGGATCATTCATCTTCCTTTTATTTAGTTGTATAAGCTGTCTGTAGATGTTGGAGATTAAACCTTTATCAGTGGTAACATTTGCAAATATGTTCTCCCACACAGTGGGCTTTCTTGTTGATGGTTTCTTTTGCTGTAAAAAAGCTTTTTTATTTTGATGTAGTCCCATTTGTTTATTTTCTCTTTAGCTTCCATTGCCCTAGGGGTAGTATCAGTGAAGAAGTTCTTTTGGCATATGTCTGAGATTTTGCTGCCCGTGGATGCTTCTAGTATTTTTATGGTTTCCCGTCTGATGTTTAAGTCCTGTATGCATTTTGAGTTTATTTTTGTGTATGGTGTAAGTTGGTGATCTAGTTTCATTCTTTTGCATGTATCTGTCCAATTTTCCCAACACCATTTATTGAAGAGACTGTCTTGACTCCATTGTATATTTGTGCCTCTTTGTCAAATATTAATTGAGCATAGTGATTTGGGTTGATATCTGGGTTCTCAATTCAATTCCATCGATCTGTATGTCTGTTCTTGTGCCGGTACCAGGCTGTTTTGAGAACAGTGGCTTTGTAATACAGTTTGAAGTTTGGTATTGAGATCCCTCCTACTTTACTCTTCTTTCTCAGGATTGCTGTGGCTATTCAGGGTCTTTTATTGTTCCAAATTAACTTTTGGAGAATTCTTTCTAGGTCAGTGAAATATGCTGTTGGTATTTTAATGGGGAGTGCATTGAACCTATAGATTGCTTTAGGAAGTATGGACATTTTGATGATGTTGATTCTACCAATCCATGAACATGATATGTTCTTCCATCTCTTTACATCTTCCTCTATCTCTTTTTTCAGTGTCGCGTAGTTTTCTGCATATAGGTCCTTTACTTCCTTAGTTAAATTTATTCCTAGGTATCTCAATTTTTGTGGTGCGATGGTAAATGGAATTGCTTTTTTAGTCTCTCTTTCTGTAAGTTCACTGTTGGTGTATAGAAATGCCATGGATTTCTTGGCGTTAATTTTGTATCCTGCTACATTGCCAAATTCATTTATTAAGTCAAT